TTGATTCTGAAAGGAGTCATGCTTTAAAGAATGGAAAATGGGTTAACCTGCCCTTATTTCCTCAGATAAACAGAACATTATGATATAACAAATTGTCAGAACTATTCTAGTTGTACTTGCCATTGAAGAGATATGCCATTGAAGCTTTTCACGTGGGGTATGGATTATCTGGACAACAACTCAAACTCACTGCTGGGCTAAATTAAGTTCCTGATATATGATAAGCTAATGATACAACATTTTATCAGAAGTGAGTTAGTCACACAGAGAATTGACAGATGCAGTCTATATCAGTAAAGTTTTATATCAACAGTGTTTCTAAAGGAATCACCCAGTCAACAATGTCATTATTTGTGCAAAATCAGTCTCTCTATAGCTTTCGGAAATTCACTTTTTGGTATAGCCAAACGTTCTTGTATTCAGTGTGTCTGACATCATTTGAGGAGAGCTTACATCATAACTTGTTGTGTTCATTTCTGTGGCTTTATAATATTTGGCACTTTCTAAGTCTTGAAACAAACACAGTGTCAACAAATGCATTTCTTCATTTAGGAAAAAAAGGAGTTGCCCAGATACTGCTGGTGAGCAGTGCTCTGTTTCCAGTTTTCCAGTGTTCTGGTATTCCTACTTTACTTTGGGAACTAAGACATGTAGGTTTAATCTCAAGATCACTCCTAACCCTGTATCTCTTGGTTTACCATTGCTTGTGAGTTAAGACTAAAAGCTGCTCTTCATCTGAACCTCTTGTTTAAAGTAAATAAGATTGTGATGTTCCATTGACACATTGATTACAATGGAGCCGTGTCTGACTCAGCAATTAAAGTCAGCACTTAGCGTGAAATCCATGTCTAGTAAAAAATATATTTAGAAGTCCATTAAATTGGATATCAATTGCAGTGTAAATAGATTTGTGTACAACTCTCTACATTAAAATATGTATGTGAAAAAATGTATATTTTTAAACTAGAATCTGCACACACTGCAAGGTGGTCACACTGAAAGAGGCTCCCAGGAACTAAAAGCATTGTAGACACAGTTAATTTGTGTCTCCCTATTCATGACTCTCCTGGTTATATTCACTGAATGAGAGAACAAGCAGACTCACTCAGACTACTTAAGTTCTTATTTCTGTCCTTCTCTTGGTCTCCCCAAATGTTTACTAAATGGTGTGGCTTCTCTGTAACTGTGGTTTGTTTTATATCTACAGAAGGATGAGAAGAGTTGGAAGATGTTTCCCTGATAAGATGCTACAGAGAATCAGTTTAAATTACTTTTTGACACATCAAAGAACATTTACTGAGTACTTACCTAATGGACTGAATGTGTCCCTTCTCCAAATTCATCTACTGAAATTCTAATCCCCATTGTGATGGGTTTTGATGGTGGGACTTTTGGGAAATAATTAGTTTTAGAGGAATTCATGAGGATGATGCCCTCGTGATGGGATTAGTGCCTTAGAAGAGAAAAAAGAGATGGGAGTTTTCTTCTCTCCCCATGCAGAGCACCCACAGAGAAAAAGTCCTGTAAGCACACAGTAGAAGGTGGCCATCCACACACTGGAAAGCAGCTTTCAACAGACACTGAAACTGCCAGCACCTTTATCTTAGACTTCTTGACCCTTCAGAACTTGGAGAAATCAATCGTGTTTCAGCCACCCGGTCTATGGCATTTTGTTATGGCAGCCTGAGCTGACTAAAACAATCCACTATCTGTTTGGTCTAAATTTTTTAAATCAGGAAAAGAATGTGAATGTAAACATTTTAATGTAAACATGATACATAGTCAGGATGGCATTACAAATTAGTGAAGAAGAAATTATTAGTAATAAATAATCTGGAGGCACTCTTATAAATACAGGAAAAAATTAAATCCATACCTTTCAAATACATAAAAAGTCAATTTCATGTAGGTAAATTATCTAATTATATAAAGCCAATAGTAACATGTTAAAAAAATAAAATAGATAATAATTTTTTTATGAACTCAAAATGGGGAAGTGTTTCTTTAATTACATAAAAATTACAAACTTTGAATAAAAGAGTTTATATACTGGTCTACATTAAAACTTTAAAAAAAAAATTCCTACTTAACTATAAACAACCAGGTCACAAACTGAGAATAGATAGTTGCAATGTGTATCAACAACATAGAATCAGTATTTCAAATTTATGAAGGATTCCTACAAATTATCATTAGAATAAAAGGATAATAACTAGTGGGAAAATGGACAAGGGATTCAAGCAGGTAATTTCCTGAAGTGAACAAATTGGACTGACCAATAAATTATTGACAAGATTCTCAACTTCACTAGACATTGATGGAATGTATGTGAAATAACAAGAAAATGTTTCCCACATACCAGATTGTTAAGACAATTTAAATTCTTAATATACCAAATGTTGGTAAAGATGTCTAGAAAAGGAAATTCTTTTACCCTGTTGTCTGTATAGCTTGCTAAAAAACCAATTTGCTGAACATTTGTGTAATATTTAGTATGTAAAATTTTACACATTTTCAACCAACCAGTTCTAGCTATGATTCAATAAAAACTCCCAAATATATGAGCAAAGAAACATATGCAGACTTTAACTGTGGAGTTATTTATATTTCAAAAAATTAAATGAAGTATATATGTTTATTTGAAGATTTTTAAAGTTTATTCTGTATGTATGTGTGTATTTTTTATTCATTTGTTTATTTGGCTTACATAGTTTGTGTATATCATAAGACCAGTAACATTATCTCATGTCTATTAAATACAATCAACATTTCCAGTCTTATTAAATTACAAGAAAAAACTTAGTCCACACCAACAGTGTATTTTACAAAACTAGTAAGCAGGCCATAGGAAGTGGTCATGGGGGCTGTACCCTGGAGGTATATTTGGGATGCCAAAAGTTGCTGAGGACAGAAAAAGAAAAAAGTGATTTCAGATAGGAGGGTCTTGATTGTCTCCGTGCCATACTTATAAGGTAGAGCCCAATAGCAGAGCTAACATGATTAAATCAGAACTACATGTATCAGTATTACAAGTTTCAAATGCATTATCAAGGGAAAGGAAAGGATGTGGCATGGCAAAATATATATATATATTGGTGCTTACTCTGTGCTAGACATATTGTACATTAGGTTTATATGAAGTTTAAAGGCAAAATGTTGCTATATATCATTTAGAGAAACTGTTTTTATTACAAAAATTAGATACACATGGGAATGATAAGCTCAAACCAGAGGAGAGTGGGCACCTGGGATAGAGTTGGTGGGGCTGGGGGAGAGGTGTGAGATTGGGCAATAGTTCATGGGAAAGCTTCAGCTAAAAAAAAAATTGAAGCAAGGAGTGAAGCTATGATGTGTTAAGGATATGAATATACATTACTTACTTTATATCAAAAGATAACTTTTGATATATTTGGAATATTCCAAATGTTTAGAAATTTAAAAATTGCCACTACACTTATTTTTGTAATTTATTAACTTAGCTCTATTAAATATATGATGACAGAGTGAATTATCCTATACTTAATATCTCAAGTGGTAACAATGCATAATTTAAATTTTTCACCCAGAATTTATGCCCATAAACTCTGCAGGAGCCACATAGGTTAAGTTCAAGATTTTTGTATAAATCAGTTTACTTTTAATGTAATCAAGGGTAAATGCTAGAGGAAAACATCTCTGGGAAAGCTAAGTAAAATAAAAGGACTCAGATCGTTTATGGATTCCCTGCATATTTACATTGTTACAATTTTACCATAAAATTAAGCTACAAAATAGAAGCATTAAGAAATATGCTTAAAACTTTCTTTACAATAAAAAGCACTATAAACAAACTTAGTTAAGTCACACATTGATTTTAAAATCAAGCTGTAGACATTGTCTCCATTTTCTTGAGTTTAGTTAAGCAAAGCCTGCTTCCAAATTTAAAATGGAATAAAGAGTTAATGGAGACAGTACAAAATTTTAATACATATGTACATATTTTACTGTTCTGTTATTTTTCTTTGGTTACATTTAGGTACCATCTTATGCAAAAAAAAAAAAAAAAAGAAAGAAAGAAATATATAGAATGGAAGGCAAAGATTTTTCAAGTGAGAGGACTCACAACTTTATTTTTTAAACGTTTATTTTTAAAAATTTATTTGTGTGAGAGAGAGAGACAGAGCATGAATGGGATGAAGGCAGAGTGGGAGACACAGAATCTGAAGCAGGCTCTAGGCTCTCAACTGTCATTACAGAGCCTGATGCAGGGCTCGAACTCATAAACCTCAAGATCATGGCCTGAGCTGAAGTCAGACACTCAACCAACTGAGCCACCCAGGCACCCTAAGAACTCACAATTTTATTATCAAATAGGTTTTCATTCAAGCAATAGTTCATTTACTGAGGATCTGCTATGTGCCAGGTATAGATCAAAATGCTGAGAAAGGAGCAGTGAACACAATAGACAAGACCCTAACTTTATAGATTTTATATGGGGGAAGGGAGGAGCTTGCTTTCTTACAATCTAGTGCACGTTAGTAGGATGACTTATTAAAAGGTATTTGGGAATCTTTGTGGCTTTAGGAAGAAAAGGGAATGCACTGAATGGACTCTCTGATAACCTTAATGTAAGTTAAATATTTTAGAAAAAAACACTAACTGGCTTTTCATGTTATATATAAAAATGTTTGTAGTAATTTTACTGGGAACAACAGCCTCAAGAGTCTCAAAGGCAGAAGAAAAATAAATGATGGAGTCTACTCTTCAGCTGTGCCAAGACTGCCTGTTCAGCTGCTTTTCTTTGCCAGGTCTGTTGAGCTTATTACTTGATGGGTTCTCTTTTTTCATTTTTTTTCTCTTCCAAAAAAGCAGATCATTAATGTGTTTATTCAGTAAGGAGTCCAAATAAAATTTAAAGCCCTCTTTTATTTAACTGATGGTTTACTTTTTTATTAAGATCCTCTGCTTTTGTCAGGCCTGGTCCTGGGCTCTGTATATTCAGAAGTACCCAATTGTTCCTCCAGGGAGTCTAGAGTCTCCTCAGGCAGAGCCAACTGCCAAGGCCAACGGTCATGTAATGGGGTAGGTGCTCTTAAAGAGATGTAGACACAGTTCTGAGTAAGCATTTCCTTTCTACCTAGCATTAGGGAAGTTGGAAGATTTTTTGTCAGTGGGCTGGGAGCTTCAAAAGTAAGTAGGTTTTTGCCAAATGATGAAGTGTGAGGCAGGCATCTCAAGTTGCTATTAACAGCCTATGGTTTATATCAGTCGCTCAATACATTTATTGCCTGTATGTGCTATAACTGCATGCCTTTTCTTCATTTGGTCACTCATTTATCTATTAATTATAGATCATCAGGATTACTGTATTCATTACACACTGTGTTAGCATTTTGCTAAGCAATGCTAAAAAGAGTAAGCAAGACAGATGCTGTACTTACCTTCATTTTAGATGTCAGCATCAATGGCTAGACTTATAGACTCATAACTGTTTCAATCCAGAGGTTATTAAATTGCAAAATCTTTGAATGAGTAACATGATTTGGTTTTGAACAAAAGTATTTAGTCCTATTCTAAAGTGATCGGGAGCACTTGAAGGTTCTATAAGTCATTGGATCATGATATGGTTAGAAAAATAGAGCAAAATTCTTCTGGAGCTTGATTTACATACTTCTTTTCACACCATCCTAATAATTCCCTATAACTACAATTTTGGATGAACATAACTGTCGGAGGCTGGCTCCAGCAGGTCCAGGGGTCTGTGAAGGATGGATGGTGTCAGCGAGGGAGAGAGTGAGAGAGCCCGACATCCTTTCTGTTCAACAGGCAGGCATCTCTGCCCTGACTGGGGCTCAACTTTATTTTATAAGTGTTTGGGGGATGGCACAGTAGTGGCATTTGCCTTAGACAATGATTTCTGATAACAAAGTTCTTTGATATATAAGAATTTCCCAGAACATAGATTTGTAGAAGACTTCTGCATAACCTTTATTAATAGTGAGATAGGTGATTTAGATGCTTATCCTATGGGGAAGGAAGGTATCTTTAGCATTGCAGACAATGTTTTCAGCATAAAAGGGTGGAGTTACTTCTCTGTGAGCAGGGGTCAAACAGGTCTTTCAGGAGACACCTTTGCTCCCATAATCACAAAAGAAGAAGTTCCTCAATAGGTTCCTCCACAGGGAGCAATCAGCATATTCAAGGCCAGAATAAGTCACCCCAAATACTTGATAACAAATGCCTTGGAGCAGGGGCGGCCAGTGCTCCAAGCAGAAACAATTGGGTGGGGGTGGATATCTGCCCTTAACTCTAAATTAGGCTCTTTGTCTCAGGGCCAGACTCAAGCCTCCTTTATTATGTAAGTCTTGGATCTGCAAGGCCCTTAGGAAGAGCCTTTCATCCAAAGTGTTTTCATCTGAAGTCTCTTTGGAAAAGGCAGGGACATGCCTTTCCTTATGAGCAATCTGTGTGGGGAATATCGGTCTGACCTGGAATATTGTAAGGCCTGGTCAATGCCAGCAGCCTCATTTCCACCATGAGCCAATAGTAGCAGAGGGAGATACCAGTTTTCATTTCTCATGGCAGGAGCTGTACAAATGCTACCATTTCCTCTCTGTAACAGTCAACCAGTGAGGCCAGTGTGGCTCCCAACACATAAAACTATAAAAAACACTTTTAAATATGGTATCTGAAGGACCAAACCAGCGCCATGACAGGCTTCAGAAGGCCCCAGAGATGAGAAGGCCCAAGTCTCTGAGGCCTGACTCAGCAGGCTTGAGCCACCGCCCTTCCCTGTGTCTGAACCAATCACTGGAGGTTGGGAGGTACCAGATGTTCCGGCCACTATTCTGGCCCGCCTTGCTCTAAACTTACCAATCCCTCTGCGCCGTAACAGCCTCTGCCGTCACCTTGTCCTATCACGTTGTAGTCTCTGTCCATCACCCCTTTCCTGCCCTAGAGTTAATAAAAACCCTACTCCTCCTTTGTTCGGGGCTCTCAGCACGGATCCATTGCATTGGTGAGGTCTGGGAGCCCGAGCTTAAGCCCAGATAAACACCCTTTGTTCTTGCATACGTGACTCGGACTCTTTGGTGGTCTTGGGATTTGGGGAAGATCACGATCTGGGCATAGCAGTATCTTTTTTGATCCTGACAGCATTTCTTTGAATATAGACTCCATGACTTTCCTAATATAGCAATAGTATATGGTACAATCTGGCATTCATTCTACCATGCCCTAATGCACCTTGAGAAAGCTCTGGAAATCCTGGATGTCTCCCAGACTTATTTTTTGTTTTTGTTGTTGTTGTTCTCATAAATGTTTTTATTATTTTAAAATAACTTTTTCTTACTTGGCTTTCCTTTAACCAGAAGGCAAGGGCCTGCCTTTCTTTCTTTCTTTCTTTCTTTCTTTCTTTCTTTCTTTCTTTCTTTCTTTCTCTGTCTTTCTTTTCTCTTTTCTTCTTTTCTTTTCTTTTCTTTCTTTCTTTCTTTCTTTCTTTCTTTCTTTCTTTCTTTCTTTCTTTCTTTCTTTCTTTCAGTAAAATAAGTATATCCGTGGAATAACATCACTAGTAAAATTAAAAGGTTTATTCGAGACTCCTGGGTAGCTCAGTTGGTTGAGCGTCCATCTCTTGATTTTGGCTCATGTCATGATTCCAGAGTCATTGGATCAAGTACCATGATGGGCTCTGGGCTGAGCATTGAGCCTGCCTTAAGATTCTCTTTCTCTGCCCCTTTTTAACTCTTATGTGCTTGCCTTTGCTTGCTCTCTCTCTCAAAAAAAAAAAATTCTATGCCTCCTAAATAAGTTAGATTTAGGCAACTTTTAGCGTAGTCTTTTTTTTTTTTTTTTTTTTGAGTCCTGGAGATAATAGGTTCAATAAATAAGATATAGTCACAAATGTAAAATGATATTTTTTGACATTGATATTTCACTTCAGCATATGATCTGAACAAATTTTGAAAGTGAAAACAAATTTGGGATTTTAAGGACTTATAAAAATATAATAATTAGTGATCTGGATTATTCTTAATGAATCCCTCCCTTTTAGGATACTTGTTTTTGCTAAAATGCCTAGACTTAAGACATATTAATACAAAACGTAAGTGAAGAATTTAGAGAAACTTACCTTCACCAGTGGAAAAGATGAGGAATGGAGATTAAGAAAGCAAGGAGCCTTTGACAGGAAGAGCTGGGGAGGAACTTAATGTAGGTTGTGGGAGATGGGCTTTTAAGAAACGTATGAAGTTTCCTTTTCTCTGCATCCTTCACGATACCTCTTGTTTCCTCTGTTGTTAATTTTAGCCATTCTGACAGGTGTGAGGTGGTATCTCGTTTTGGTTTTGATCTGTTAGCCATCTGTCTTCTTGGGAAAAATGTCTATTCATGGCTTCTGCCCATTTCTTCCCTGGATTGTTTTTAGGGTGTTGAGTTTGATAAGTTCTTTATAGATTTTGAATACTAACCCTTTATCAGATATGCCGTTTGCACATATATTATCCCATTCCTTCAGTTGCTTTTCAGTTTTGTTGATTATGTTCTTTGCTGTGCGGCAGCTTTTTATCTTGCTGCAGTTTGATTAGTGGAAACAAGAACATTATCAAGAACTGTGAGGAAGGGTCAGCGATTAGTTATTAAACTGTGTTCTTGCAAGACCCCATGGTTGGTCTCATGAACTCAGTAGAGGGAGTTCTCAAGATTCTTGAGGTTTGGAAAAACATGATTGCATTGTATGAGGAGATACATTGATCTAAAAAGGAGGTAGAAAAGAGACCCTGAGAGATGGCGTAGAATTTGAGATTTAGAACTCTTATTGTTAATGCCAGATTATGCACAACCTTTTGCACTTATTAGAGCAAAAATAAACTTTTTAATTTTAAGAAAAATTACTATAAAGAAAAAAATAACTGATCATAAACTCAGACCCTAGCTTAACTCTTGGTGTCCTATCCTCTTATCAGAACAACTATAAATTGCAGAGAAAGAAGAGCAAAGAAGCTAATCTTGACACTTCAAAATGCCACAGAGCTGGCAGTCAATGATAGTACCATGTATCAATACTTTAAGAAAACCATCTTAACTGTCTTGCCAGCATAATCCCAGGATTTTCACTTTAAGGCAGTGTTAATTCTTTGCCCTAACAGAAGATCACACAGAGCATTTATTTCTTTGTGATTGAAGAACAGTTGATTTATTTCAGGTAGATTTAGTTGAAAATGTACTAAGTGAAAAAACAATATCGAGTCCATCAATCCTAGAGTTTTTCACACCATAAGCACGAGAGGTTGCTGATGTTTCAGTGCACCAAATAAGGCAGTCTTTGAGTAGCAAAATAATCCAGGCCAAATGAATTAGTAAAAGATTTCTGGGACTAAATTACTATTTTTTTTTTTTACTGCTGCATAATTTGTACCCAATGAAATGTACCATTGAGTATTATCTTCTTTATGAGTTTTTTTCCCTTGAATTCCTTGAAACCATATGCCTCTGGACTTCCTTCTACATCTCTGTCTCTGCTGTCTCTCCATCATAGGTATCTGTCACTTCCCTAAATATTGTTGCCCCTATGTCATCTGTCTGGTAATTTCTTCTCTTTTCAGGTTACATATTCTCTTTGTATTATGTTGCCTTCAGTAAGCATTTGTATGCTCATTTATCACTGCATCCACATATCCAGATTGTTTCTCCCATTTGCCTCATTCCTACATATCCTATAAGCAATGGAACATCTTCACTTAGTGTTTCTATGAGAACTTTAAATTTATCAGGTGTACAACTGAACTTACTGTCTTTTGCTACCAATATGCTTTTAATTAAGTTTTCATTATTTTCACTAGTACAAACTATTCAAAATAATTCAAGCAATTGAGCACCTTCATGTGACTAGAGATGTGCCAAACATTATAGATTGGGTGACCCTGCTTTTGTGGAACTAATAGATTAGCCATTTATTCAAGATAAACGTGGATGTCATTCTGAAGTTTTGTTTTTTTCTCATTGCACCCATCCAAAATCTCCCCAAAATGCTACCTCCCCCCACACCATCATGGACCCTTTTCTTCCTCTGGAATTTCCCGATTCTATGCCTTTCTTCAATCACTACATTGTAAAAATCTTTTTCCTTTATTTCTAGGATTCCTATGCAGAGAGTGGTGTTATAATAGATTCAAACTCTGTATTTTGGGCATAGAAGTAAGGAAAATGTGAATTCTGATTGGAGGATCTTAGACTTTACTCATCAACCATGTATTGCTTATTTATTAGGCATAAAGTAAATCTATTAAAGTAGCAGAACACAGGGGCACCTGGGTGGCTCAGTTGGTTAAGTGTCTGACTTCAGCTCAGGTCATGATCTCACAATTCATGGGTTCGAGCCCTGCATCGGGCTCTGTGCTGACAGCTAGCTCAGGGCCTGGAACCTGTCTCTGGATTCTGCGTTTCCCTCTCTCTGACCCTCCCCTGCTCATGCCGACTCTATCTCTTTCTCAAAAATAAATAAAACATTAAAAATTTTTTTAAAAATAAAGTAGCAGAACACAAATATAATTGAACACTAAGGTAGACAACTCATTATGGGAAAATCTTCTAAATAATATGTATTTATAATACTTAGATTTTTTTTTTGTCAGTTAATTCTCTGCTAATCTTCTAAATAGATTATTGTTTGAATACTCACTTCTGACTCACCTTGAATCTTGTCTCAGCCTTAGACTCTACTGAGACTATTATTTTTTCGGTTTTAGGCTATTTTGGCAGAGACATTTTCTAGGCTGCCTTTTCCAGCTGCTGTTGTCTTATCTCTGTCTTTCTGTCATGGTGCCTGCCTGCCCACAGGCCCAAATTGCTACCCTTGAAAATCTGTTCACCCTGCTTAGTTCAAATTAAAGGGATTGCTTTATTTATTGCTTTTCAAGCCCACTGTATCACAAAAATCTTAGTTAAAAGAAGGTTTGAGGACATCTAGTTAAATTTTCCAATCAATGCTGGAAATGCTCTCAGCTCTGAGTTGCTATCTTTCTGCTCACATGTCAGAAGAGGCAAAAATAGCTGAATGATACAGCTGAGAAACATGTGTACATCACCTAGCTATAAAAGGCACTCAGAATAAGCCTTATGCTTTTTCTGGTGTTCTCATTCCCTCTTGGTTCATTTCCACTGTTTCTCATATCACTGTGTGCAGTGTTAAGCTGAAAACATCCATCAATTCATTTTCATGGAAAGGATAGGATTTTCACTCTTTCCCATTGGAGAGAAGATATCTCTGTCTCATCCCTCAATTCTACCCCACATATTCTTTCCCTGTTGGAAGAGGAATGGGTAGTACTGGTGCACAATCATTCAGTGGTCCCCCTTAAGATACTTTCATTAGTTTCCTTCGTCTCTTCCCTTCAATGTTCTTGGTACCAAAGTACCTAAAGATAGACTTGATTCAGCCCCATATCTTCTAGCAGGCTTTAGATCCACTCCTCCACAAAGGAATATCAGGATTCTGGGTTTGAGGGTAAAGAAAAAAGATCAACTTCGATTTGAATGCTCCAAGGTACATTCTCAAATCCAGCTTTACAAGTAATGAAGTTCCTCTTTTGGCAATGGGGCACTCTGTCTCCATTACTCATTGTTTCACTTAGATTGGGATTTCAGGGGATCCTAAACATCTCTCCTTCTCTCTAGATTCTGAACCAGTTTGAGCCTGTAGGCAAGTAGGCAAATGGGAGAGAAGAGAGAAGTCAGCCAAACAAAGAAAACATCCATATATGCAACATCCTATCAAACACACAAACTAATTCCCAATTGGGAGCCATGTTGACCTGTCATCAATGGTTTACATTGATTTAATATTCATTTGTCTGAGCCATAACTCTATGTATGACAAGCATTGTGCTAGGCACCAGGGTTTCAACAATGAACACAGGAATACATTCCTTAGTTTCATGGGACTTACATATTTACACTCTGAAAGGAAGAACATATATAAAGCTTATTCTATATCACTCAAACAGCCAGACCTGAAACAAAATTCCAATTGCATAAAGTATTCACTGTGGTAAAATACCTTTGGTTGTTTATTTTCTAACTATTTAATGATAATAGGTAGCCACGGGCATTTTTTAAGTATCATTTCCTATTGTAGAGTCAACAAGAATTAGTAAGAAGAGGACTGGATTAGGACTCAAAAGGCTTGGGGCTCCTGGGTGACTCAGTCGGTTAAGTGTCTGACTTCAGCTCAGGTCATGATCTCACAGTTCGTGGGTTTGAGCCCCGCATCAGGCTCTGTGCTGACAGCCTGCTCAGAGCCTGGAGCCTGTTTCAGTCTGTGACTCCCTCTCTCTCTGACCCTCCCCTGCTCACGCTGTCTCTCTCTTCTCTCCTAGAAATAAATAAAACATTAAAAAAAAAAATTTAAAAAAAATAAAAAAACAAAGGGCTTGAGTGCTGGAGCACTTGGCTGGCTCAGTTAGTAGAACGTGGGAATCTTGATCTCAGGGTCATAAGGTTGAACCTCATGTTGGGTGTGGAGATTACTTAAAAATAAAATCTTTAAAAATATCTTAAAAATAAAAAAGACTTGAGTGCTAATTCAGGCCCATGAACTACTTGTCTTTGCCTCTGGAAAAGTCATTAATTTTTCTGAAGCTCAGTTTGGAGAAATTCACAGTAGTCTGGTAAAATTTACAGGAGATTGTGAAGAAACAAACCTTGGTATATCCTAGGTGTGTTGTAATTGTCAGCTTCAGGCTGTTGGCACTATTTAGGCATCTCCATTCTTACACAACTAGCCCTAGGCTCTTCTGGACTTTTAAGGAGGTTAGATAGAGCATAGAGAAGTGATGCTTTTAAGTTTTATTTTTTTAATTTTTAAAATTTTAATGTCTTTATATGAGTTGTCATTGGAGAGGAAAATGGAACCATTCTTCCAGAGAGAAATGGATCTTACTGACATCTTCCATTTGTATCCATTTGCCTGACAGTGTTTTCAAATACACAGCTTCTATGGTTGAAAAAATAAAAGCTTTCCTTAGATTGTTTGGGTAGTTTCCAAACTGTAACTTGTATTTAAATATACCAAGGCTTTACAGAATGTGGGGAGTGTAATTTCATAACCAAACTATTTGATATCCTAAATAAAAGAAGATATTTCTAACATGCAAATTGCTGGCATTTGCCAATATATTTGCAAAATACCAGTGTAGCCAGAGGGAATTTGTCTATAAATGTTCCACACACTGTTCAAGTAATGAATTCCTTGTTTTAAGCAACTCTAAAACATAGTCACTTTCTAGTTTTAGGATCCCAAGGTTTTGCTTATCTGTTTTGATAAACACTTCTTGATCCCCAACGTGGAAAGAGAAATGAATCTATTTCAGTTGGAATTATTCATGATGTTCACCTGATTCATAATTCAGAAAGCCTGTGGAGAAACTTAAACTTTTGGATATAATAGAACTTTAACTTAAGGTATTTAATAGACTAAATTACAAAGATAGATAACTTTTTCAGATCGTCCCTAGCACTCTTTTAAAATCATACTTATCAAGACTATATTCCAGACCTTGTTGTAGGGTCTGTAACATAATTTAGTCTTTCCAAAAATCATGTGTGTTTAAAATAGCAAGCTTTTTCTGCCCACCATATCATGTTGTTAGGTATTTACAGTGTGGACCACTAAGGTAAGTCTGTCCTAGAGTTCAGTTTAAGTGTAAATTTTCAATTTACCAAAACTGTAGATAACTTATAATGGTCTCTTCTTTCCACTTTCCAGATGCTCACTGATTTACTGTAAGAATTCTATCAGTGCCCACTATGTGCCAGGGAGACAAAACATGCACTTGAGACAGAGGTAAGCAGTACTGTGTGTGATCTTCAGCATTCATCCTTCATTCTCAAATCACTGGATGAGCAGATATTCCAACAACAAATTACACAGTATTAGTGAAAGTAAAGAGACTGTACCTCTTGCTGTTTTAAATCACATTTTTGTTGATTTCAGAGGGTTACTTGAAGAAAATTTTTCATAGTGAAGAACATTTACAATGCAGCAATTACTTCATTCTTTCCTCAACATCCTTTTCATCTGTCAAATTCAAACAATAGTAAATTTATTCTGGAACTTTAAAAATCATGTGGAATGACCCCATTTTATCTGACTACTTCTTTTTGTCTTTGTTTTCTTCATCTATCACCCATTATCCACTTACCACTTATCCATACATAAATACAAACAATACATATATGGATTTATTTCCAAATTTCCCTGACACATTACAGTTAAACTTGTGATTTTTCAACTTCATGGTGGTGTGAAAGTAAATGCATTTATTGAACCAGAATTTGAAGTTTGACCTTTTCCTGGCCTAGTGATATACAATAGGATCCTCTCTCCTAATGCTGGACAGTGGCAGTGAGCCCTGCAATCACTAGGGTAAACAACTGATATTCATACCACTAATATATAACCCCAAAACATTATTTTCACTTTCAGTATAGCAGTCAATAAATTACATGATGTATTCAAAACTTTATTATAAAATAGGTTTTTTGTTAGATGATTTTGTCCAACTTTAGGCTAAATAAGTGTTCTGAGTATGTTTAAGGTAGCATTGACTAAGCTCTGATGTTTCATAGGTCAAGTGTATTAAATGCATTTTCACCTTAAGGCATTTTCAACTTAGAACGGGTTTATTGAGATGTAACCCCATTGTTAGTCAAGGAAGATCTGTATTTTCTTATTTGCATAAGCAAAGTCTGAAATGTATGAACAATATTAGTAATTTATTAAATACAGGATTTTTTAAACTTTTTGTATTTTTGTGGTTATGATTTTTTTCCTTTAGTATTTTTACAAAAAATACATAAAAATAAAGCTATATTTAACAAATGTAATGGTTCCATACTACATGGATGAACACTTCAAAGATAAAAGAGTCAAAGATAAAAGAGTCAACTTAAGGACTCCATGCTGACAGCACGGTGCCTGCTTGTGATCCTCTCTCTCTCTCCCTCCCCATTCACTCACTCTTTCTCTCCCTCAAAATAAATAAATAATCTTAAAAAAATCAATTATTTAAATCTTAAGTGATTTTGAAAACTTTTTTAATTAATGAATTTACTTTACTTTACATATTTGCTATACCTGTTATCACTATACTTTCATGTACTTACTATTTTGAAGTCCTTTCACATTTTATGCACATAAACTTATTTAAACAGTAAACTTTATATCCTATCATAAATGAAAATTTAAAATGACTTCCATAAGTAAAAGGTAAAGATGAAAATTGAACATGAAGATAATAAACAACATGCAGGTATACCTTGTTTTGTTGTGCTTTGTAGATTTAGTGTTTTTTACAAATGCAAGTTTTGTGACAACCCTGCATCAAGCAAGTATATTGGTGCCATTTTTCTAACAATATTTACTCACTTCATATCTCTGTGTCACATTTTGGTAATTCTTGCAATATTTCAAACTTTTCCATTATTTTTATATTCTGTTCTGTGTTCAGTGATATGACTTGATGAAAGCTCGGACGATGATTAGCATTTTTAGCAGTATTTTTAAATTAAGGTACCTACACTGCTTTTTAGACCTAAGGCTTTTGCACACTTAGTGGACTACTGTACAGAGTAAACCTAAGTTTTATATGCACTAAGAAACCAAAATATTTATTTGTCTCACTTTATTGCAAATTTCGCTTTATTGCAGTAGTCTAGAACCAAACCGCAGTAACTTTGAGGTGTGCCTGTAATTATGTCCTAGTGAATTATGATTATCCCTTAAATACTCTGAGTCAGAGGGCTCCATTCTTGTGGTTAAAAAGATTATGAATTGTTAGAGTCATACTAACCCTAAATGGAGTTTTTTCTCCTTGGGACCTAGGAAGAGTGAAAAGTAACTCTGTTATTTAGTGAAAGTTTTTAATGCTACCAACTAAAATTATTTCATACTCTCTTCCCGATTGTTGACTTTAACCTAAACATACTTGATAAGTGGTTACCTATTCGGTCCCTGCTATCCCCAGAGACAAAGGAAAGGCTTCATTAGAAATTACATTCACTTTGGGGCACCTGGGTGGCTCAGTCGGTTAAGCATCCAACTTCAGCTCAGGTCATGATCTCAGGGTTAGTAGGTTCGAGCCCCGCATCGGGCTCTGTGCGGACAGCTAGCTCAGAGCCTGGAGCCTGCTTCAGATTCTGTATCTCCCACTCTCTCTGACCCTTTCCTGCTCACGCTGCCTCTCGCTCTCTCAGAAATAAATAAAACATTAAAAAAAAAAAAAGAAATTACATTCACTTTAACTAAATTACTTTAGTTGTGAGAACACTTCTAACGAGCTAACATCTATTTGTTTATCTATCATTCTTACATCAGCCATCTCCATCCAGACCAAAGAGACTAATCTCTTATTCATAAAAGATTTTTTCTTCATTATCACCTCCATTTTCTACCTTACACTTTGTCACATGCCATGACTCTCCTCTTATTGAATTCATATGCACATGTCCCACAGCATTCATTGTGGTTAAAAGGGCAACTTCCATGGAAACAGAAATTTCTTTCAGTAGGTAAAAGTTAAAGAAGTTTTTTTTTGTTTTGGTTGTTGTTGTTGTTGTTTTCCCTTAGAAAAGATACCATTTTATTGTTTTTGTAGCATTATTTTTAAGATTTTTATTTTACGAAGCAAAATAATAAACACAAAAAGGTAAAAAGTATGTACTTATGCTAGGAGTAAAGGTAAGATGGGCCAGCAGGTGATATGATGATATTTGTTACTCTGGAGTAGACATATCTTTGCTATGGTGAGTGAATTAGGCAAGATTTAGTGTTCATTCGTTGCCACATTGCCTAGTACAGAAAAAATGCTTAGTAAATTATGCCCTAAAACACTCATCACATTAGTTTTGTTTTATTTAATGAAGAATTTTACAATTTCCCTGTGTGAAAGACTCTTAATTTATCCTTCAAAGTCTAAAGTAAATCATATATAATTGTTTACTGTAATAAGCATAGACACAGTGAAACAGGTTTTCTCATGGATATAAGAAAAAAATTCACTGCATTATCATTATTAGCAAGAATTTTTGCGGTCTTCTTAGAAGAAAGGAAGGAAAGAATGAAGGAAGGACCTTAATACTAGTGGACGCTAGAGAGTTGATACAGATGAAATTGCATGGGTATTTGAAGATAATTTCTTAAATAAATCTCTAAGGCACAATTTGTGTATGTTTTCAAATTTCCTTGTCAAAATATGTAACTAAAAAAATTAGAGTTATGGTGGTGATTTTTAGATACAACACCAAAGGTGCAATACATGAAAGAATAATTAATGAGCTGGACTTCATTAAAAAACAAAAACAGGGACACCTGGGTGGCTCAGTGGGTTAAACTTCTGACTTTGACTCAGGTCATGATATCACAGTTCGTGGGTTCAGCTTCACATCAGGCTTTATGCTCAAAGCTCAGAGCCTGGAGTCTGCTTCGAATTCTCTCTCTCTTGCTCTGCCCCTCTATGCTCCCTTGCTCTTTCTCTTTTACTCTCTCTCTAAAAAATAAAAAAAGAAAAACACCAAACTTCTACTCTTAAAAATACAATGTCAAGGAAGGAGAAGCTGCTTATTAATAGGAGAGAATATTTGCAAAAGACATAAAAAGGTGCTCCAATCATATGTCATCAGGGAAATGCAAAGTAAAACAATAGTGAGATACTGCTATACGTCTGGTCTATTACAATGGACAAAATCCAGAACACTGACAACACAAAATGTTGGTTAAGATGTGGAGCAACAGGAATTTTCATTCAGTGCTGGTGGGAATGCAAAATGCTACAGTCATTTTCAAAGACAGTTTGGAAATTTTTTACAAAACAAAATGTACTCATGATATGATACAGCAATGACACTCCTTGGTACAGTATTTACTCAAAGGCATTAAAAATTTATGTCCATCTAGAAACCTGCACACAGATGTTTATAGTAGCTTTACTCATGAGGTGTCTGGGTGGCTCAGTCAATTAAGCATCTGACTTTGGCTCAGGTTGTGATGTGGCTTGTCAGTTTGATCCCTGCATCGGGCTTTCTGCTGTCAGTGCAGAGCCGGCTTTGGATCTTCTGTCCTCCCTTCTCTTTCTACCCCTCCTCTGCTCATTCTCTCTTGCTCTCAAAAATAAATAAGCATTTAGAAAAAAAATAGTTACAGTAGCTTAACTCATAATTGTCAAAACTTGATGGTAACTGAGATGTCCTTCACTAGATGAATGAATGGATATGTAAGCTGTGGGTACATCCAGACAATGGAATATAATTCAGTGCTTAAAAAAGAAACTATCAAGCCATGAAAAGACATGGAAGAATCTAAAATGCGTATTACTAAATGAAAGAAGCCAATCTGAAAGGCTACAAATTGTATGATATTCTACAAAATTTAAAACAGTAAAAAGAGACTGTGCATGGGTAAGAGTGGGGAGAGGGATGAATAATTGGAGCACAGAATTTTTAGGGCAGTGGATACTACTCCATGTGACCTTATAATGAGGATATATGTCAGTATATATTTCTCCAAACCCAAAGAAAATACAACACCCAAGGTGAACTATAATGTGGACTTGGGGGTGACAATGATGTGCCAATGGAGGTTCATCATTTCCAACAAATGTACTACTGAGTAGGGGTTGTTAATAATGGGAGATGCTGTGCATTTGTGGAGGTAGGTGTCAAAAAGATAATATATTTTTCTCTCAATTTTTCTGTGAACCTAAGAATGATCTAATTTTTTTTCTTTAAAAAAATATAAGGGAGCCTTATAATTTGAATTACAACCTAATATTTTTGTCTTGGTTTTAC